ATCAATGTACAACCGTACTGAAGTAATTTGTTCCAATAAAAAACGCTTGAGCATTTCGGTTAAAATTTCCTGTACTGTACTGTATACAGTTCTTAAATCCTTAGTCTGCAATCAAAATATGTTTGGAATACGAACTGTTTACAGTAGCTTAAGAGCTCTCTGTCTGAAAATTCTAGTACTTTTATTCAACATGCACATGAAAATGCCAACTTTGAAATCCTATCCTTCTATCATTTCGGCGACACACAGCATTTATTTTATTCTTGACTGATCAGTAGAACGTTATACCATACAAAAATCTTTATATGGGACAATATAATCTACAAAAATATAACCGCTGAGCGTATATAATTTCTTTGATCAAACAGAAAATTCTTTCACGCGTAGAGTAAAGAAGACGCTCAAGCAGACATTCCGCTTGATAAGCACAACATTTCCAGCAATTTTTGCCATATACTTTGAACGGAACCTTGCAATGCTTAATGAGAGTACGTTCAAGAAATATACACATATTTTTATTAAAATATATACAGTGAATAGTTTAGAACATTTGCTGCAAGATTGCATTTCCGAAAGAAGCTGGCACTTCCGTCAATCTCTTTCAAGATAACTAAATAATTATACAGAAAAAGCTAGAAAAACAAGGTTACTCTGAGCATCCACAAAACACACGATATTTCGTCAAGGACCAAACAAAAATCGACTATCTTTCCTTACAGGTGTTTCCAACTTGTTTTTTAACAAGATTACTCTAAATGGCCAAAAAGCTTTATCCTAGGTTACCGTTAATGGATCAGGCTCGCACCAAGGGAAATAAGCCATATAGTTGTCGGTTAAATATCTTTACAGAAACCAATACTAAGTGAGTTACACACGAGTTCATCATTCACTGATGGTCTGTGCAAAGCTGTTAGCAAGTAAACACAAGAGGTATTTTATAGCTTATGCACATGATAATGGTATGGAATTTAGCTGAAAGTATGTCCATGAAACACACATTTTTCGTCAGGAAGAAGTTTTTTCAGCCGCCAAACAGTCCAGCGCATCAGCCCTTAAGTATTCTAACGTCCTGTTTTATCTGAACTAATGCTCAATAATTTATAGCAAAAGGAGGAATTATTGAGTAAGAAATAAGAATTTTCCAGAAATAAAAAGCGGAAGCAGTGCGCTACCCAAACTTCGTAAACAAAAGCTGACGACAATAGGGAAATGGCGGATGCCATAAGAGACTTTAAAATATGCTCATGTTCATTTACACTTTACTCACTGTCTTAAGGAAAGTTTTGTTTTCATGCGACTAAGGCGTAGTTTCTGATGTTAGAGCGAGGAACGAGATCTAAACTGTGGACCACAAACTCTCTGTCGCTTCATAAATGCTGCGCTGCTTGCTCCCGTTTTCTCTACATGGTATACTTTGTGAGCTCAATACATTAGAATATAAACGCGCCGTTCTGGCGTGTGACCAAGTTACTTTGGTTATCCCTATATGTCTTTACTCCTTGCCAGGGCAATCATACGCGTCGCAATCGTCGATGACAATGACTATGAGAAGAACGAATTCTTTTACATTCAACTGGAGGAACCGATCCTCATGAGCAAAGACGGTGCGTTGTCCAAAAGCCTTAACTCTTATAAGCGTCCGCTTTCTTTCAGTTTATTTATCCATTTCCTAGGCACTATTGTGATAAGTGAAAATGCAAAGCTAAAAAGGAACTTCAGTTCTATAGATTTAAATAGTAAGTACAAGCACTAAAGTAGTGGATTTAAAACTACGGCTTGAAAACTCTGAGCAGAATAATTTTCGATTACTCACTGAATCGGAAAGGCATTTGGGCTCATGCCAAGATATTTGAAAAGACGTGAGTGATCAGGAAAAAAAGGAAGCCTCTAGATACAGGATTTCGGTTTAAAACGTAAGCCCCCTGTTGCCAATACATGCGCACATGCCAGTCTCAGGAAGTACTTGAGAAGGAGTAGATGTAATTGTTGGGACAATAATTTAATTCGCCTGACGTTTTGAAATCTACCGTGAATCCATCACCAGAGAGGGAGTTGCAGTAATTATAGGATATAGTCCCTATGATACTGCACACATATAACAATAAACGGCTCTCCTATCAAGGATAATTGCCCGCTTTTGCGCTAACTGCTTGATGGCTGGCGTGTGGGCCGTGACCGGCTGAACGTTAATCACACTTAGTGATATTGGACGTGATAATAATACTTTTGAAATGTCAGGCAAATACATTTCTTGTCACATAACATATAGTTCTTCTCAGTAAACCTATGTCTCCTCAGAGGCGAGTATTCTGAATGACGCATGAACATCGGTTTTAATTTGAGAAAAGCCACTGAACATGATTGCGTCCAAATATCAAGGATGTTTGCTTCATGGTCTGTGCGATTCCATTGCTTCGCGTTGTCAGCAGTATGTGGATCAAAACAGACGTCATTTTGAGAATATACAGTGAAAAAAGGAAATGATACTTGTAAATACTTTCACATTTTTGAAATAATAAAATTATAAAAACACCAAGTTAAAAATTATCTAAAATGTGTATACATTTTTTGGGAAACCCTGTATAATACTTGAGGTCTGTGAAATCCGTTGTAAAAAGCAAATCACTTCACATCAGTGAGATATGAGAGCCATTCTGCATAAGGGCACAGCAGTAATCCCAGCATGTAGAGAACAGTGAAAGAAAATATATAAAAGATGCTTCGAGACCTAGATGACACTGTTTCTTCCGATCACATTCCAATTGTAAACCTAACGTCCACCATGGGAATCTCCTCGCTTTTGAAGAAACTAACCTGGCAAATTTATACTGGAGCCTCCTTTATCTTAAAACCGGAATACTATTCAGAAATTTCCTTACAGTGCTTTACTTTGTATGTTGCCTCATCCTTATCTTTCTATGCAGTGAGTGCTGGGACATCATGAATTATTTTTGCTTTAAAAGAATGATTTTCCGCTACGTTTTC